CTCCAGCATAGGCAACAAGAGTGAGAGTCTGTCTTAAAGAAAAAAAAAAAAAGCTAGAGAAAAGAAAATGTTATTAAGAAAATCATAAGGAAGAGAAAATATATTTACTCTTCAGTAAGTGGAAGTGGACCCTTGTAAAGGTCTTCATCCTTTGTGTCTTTACATTGAGGAGTAGCAGGAGGAGGAAGAGGAGCGCTTGGTCTTGCTCTCTCACAGGTGGCAGAGGTGGAAGAAAATCTGTGTATAAGTGGACATGCAGTTGAAACCCATGTCATTTAAGGGTCAGTTGCGTTTGATAATTGTACTATGGATATTTGAGAGAATATTGCTGTTCTTACTAGATACACACTGTACTATTTAGGAGAAAAGAGGTGTGTTGTCTACAACTAACTCCCAAATGGTTTAGCACAGGAGTGGGCAAATCTTTTTGGTAAAAAGCCAAATAGTGAAAATTTTGAGCTTTATGGGCCATATGGTCTCTGTCACAACTACTTGTTTTGCTGTTAGAGTCCCAGCACAGCCACACGGAATATTTAAATGGGTGGGCGTGGCTGTGTTCCAATAAAACTTTATTTATGGATACTGCAATGCCAATTTATATAATTTTCACACACCATGAAAGATTCTAGTGATTTTTTTTCAACCCTGCAAAACCCATTTCCGTCTTACTGAGCATACAAAATTAGGTAGCCAGACTTGGCCTGCGGCTGTGGCTTACGATTGCCTGCCTGATATAGAAAAAGAACACACAGGCAGGCATGCACATGTGTGCACACGCAGGCACGCATATATGGGGGATAAAGCAAATACAGAATGAAGGAACCGCTGGTGAATCTGGGTGAAGAGTGGAAGCGAGTTATTTGTATTGTTTTTGTAATTCTGCAAACTTGAAATTATTATTATAATCATTATTATTTTGAGATGGAGTTTCACTCTTGTTGCCCAGGCTGGAGTGCAGTGGTGCGATCTCGGCTCACCACAACCTAAGCCTCCTGGGTTCAAGCGATTCTCCTGCCTCAGCCTCCTGAGTAGCTGGGATTACAGGCATGCGCCATCACGCCTGGCTAATTTTGTGTTTTTAGTAGAGACGGGGTTTCTCCACATTGGTCAGGCTGGTTTCAAACTTCCGACTTCAGGTGATCCACCTGCCTTGGCCTCCTAAAGTGCTGGGATTACAGGCATGAGCCCCTGTGTCTGAAATTATTACTATTATTATTATTATTATTATTCATTTATATATGTATTTGAGACGGAGTCTCACTCTGGAGTGCAGTGGCATAATCTCAGTTCACTGCAACCTCCGCCTCCTGGGTTCAAGCAATTCTCATGCCTTAGCCTCCTGAGTAGCTGGCATTACAGGCGTGAGCCACTATGCCCAATTTGAAATTATTTTAAAATAAAAACATTGGCCGGGCGCGGTGGCTCAAGCCTGTAATCCCAGCACTTTGGGAGGCCGAGGCGGGCGGATCAC